AAGACAAAAAACAAAAGCTAAGTAATTATCTGGGAAGACTAAATTGTGGAAAACAAATTTAAAAAACTGAATCTTGAAATGCTAACTTTTCTTTACTCTGGCAGGATGAGAAGGGGAAAACAGAGGATGAGATGGCTGGATGACATCACCAGCTGTATGGACATGAGTTTGAGTAAGCTCTGGGAGTTGCTGATGGACAGGGAAGCCTGGTGTGCTGCAGTTCATGTGGTTGCAAAGAGTTGGACACGACTGAGCAACTGAACTGGAATGAGATATACTGCTCCTTTCTCTAACAGTGTGTATCACGTAACTAACATGATCATGCTGAATAATCTGTGTCAGTTATTTCATTTACAGAAGACATTTTGTTTTAACCAAGTATTCCTAACTGTTTTACCAATTGGTTTTAGGAGGTACAAGGACCTCCTGAATTTATGAATACAATAGAATTTTATGTTCATTTCTGTACTGACTTTAGGGTAAGAATTCATTGTTTTTCATTAGTTTTTCATAGAATTACCTAACCCCAAAGTATTAGGCATCAAATTTTAATGGTCCAAAATTTATTATATAAATTATTTAAATCTAAGCCCTCAAGGGCTAAATTTACATTTGTCTTTTATCTCATCTCCAAATTGAGCAATATTAAAATTAATATAGTGCATATATTGCACTATCAGGGAACAAAATAGGAAGAATAAAAGTTGACTTTGGTCATTTCCTTGGGCTGACTTTATAGAGAAATGCTGAGGGAAAGTAAAGACTCACTTTGGTGGCAGAGTGACCAGCAAGTTCCCTGTAACTCCTTTTGTGATGTTTTCCAAAAGGAAGATACAGCTGCAGGTACCACATACTAAGAAAAGGAAGGAAAATAGCTATGAATCTGCTAAAGAAAAGCAATAAGAAAGGTATTAGATGGCATTATGTGAAATGAAATAATTTCAACAGAGAAAGATAAACAACATATGATATCACTTATGTGTGGAATCTAAAAACACTACAAAATAGTGAATATAGCTAAAAAGTTAGCAGACCCATAGAGAGAGATAACAAACTAGTGGTTACCAGTAGGAGAGGGGGGAGGGGCAAAATAGTGGTTGGGGAGTGGGAGGTGCAAACTATTGCCTGTAAGAGAGACCCAAGAATTTATTGTATAACACAGGAAAGATAGCTAATATTTTAAAATAACCGTAATTGGAAAGTGACCTTCAAAAATTTTATAAAAATTTTTAAAAATATTCTTTTTAAAAAAGAAGTTTGTTAGAGACTGGAAGATGGAAATTCAAAAAAAAAGTGCAGTGAATTCCAAGCCATCCATTTCCCCTCTTTTGACTTGCTGTTTTTATTCTTTTTTGTTGGTTACAGCTGTGTTCTCAATAGATGAGCAATTACATAGTGTTAATTTTAATTTAACCTGTGAATAATGGTGATTAAGAGATCTATAATCCAAGCATGCTAATTAAGTACCCTTTGTATGAGTTCTAAGAGTGGGAGATTTGGGTGTCTATCCATTAGCCATGTTTGTGAGCCAACGGCTTCATCCAGCAACGATGATATTTCACTGGGTTTTATTGCCTAGTATCAATTTTACATCCTGTCCTTGTCCATGTAAGGCTTTTCAGAAACATCAATGGAGTTGGACTAAAATATCTTAACCACTGCCTTCTTGCTTTTTTGAGGGAAAGAGGCTATCTGCATGACAAGTAAGATTGCCTGCAGTACCATGTCACAGCTCATTTATTTAAAGATTTATCATTCATCATTGTCAGAGACCCTGAGGACTGAAGAACATCATTGTCTATGTCTCATGATCATTGTGAGCTCTTTAAAGTGTTTAGAAGACTAGTCACAATGAAACTCAAGGCATGAGTAGGAAATAATTTTAACTTCTGAAATGGATTTTTTTCATTTAAAGAAGAGATTTCCGTATAGAGCTGAGCTACAAAGATCACAAATTATGCACATGTTTAGAGACTTCTGATGCTTTATAATTTTATTTTTTATGCCCTCCTCCCACACAGAGCAACTTGTGTAGAACTTAAACAAGGAGTAAGTAATCAACATTTATTATTGACTTGGTATGTATGGCAGAAAGCAAAGAAGAACTAAAGAGTCTCTTGATAAAAGTGAAAGAGGAGAGTGAAAAAGTTGACTTAAAACTCAACATTCAGAAAACTAAGATCATGGCATCTGGTCCCATCACTTCATGGCAAACAGATGGGGAAACAATGGAAACAGTGAGAGACTTTATTTTCTTGGGCTCCAGAATCACTGCAGATGGTGACTGCAGCCATGAAATTAAAAGATGCTTGCTCCTTGGAAGAAAAGTTATGACTAGCTTAGACAGCATGTTAAAAAACGAAGACACTACTTTGCGACAAAGGTCTGTCTAGTCAAAGCTATGGTTTTTCCAGTAGTCATGTATGGATGTGAGAGTTGGACTATAAAGAAAACTGAGCACTGAAGAATTGATGATTTTGAACTGTGGTGTTGGAGAAGACTTCAGAGTCCCTTGGACTGCAAGGAGATCCCACCAGTCCATTCTAAAGGAAATCAGTCCTGAATATTCATTGAAAGGACTGATACTGAAGCTGAAACTCCAATACTTTGGCCACCTGATGTAAAGAACTGACTCATTTGAAAAGTCCCTGATGCTGGGAAAGATTGAAGGCAGGAGAAGGGGATGACAGAGGATGAGATGGTTGGATGGCATTGCCAACTTAATGGACATGAGTTTGAGTAAACTTTGGGAGTTGATGATGGACAGGGAGGCCTGGTGTGCTGCAGTCCATGGAGTTGCAAAGAATTGAACACAACAGAGCGACTGAACTGATGTATGTATGTACATTTGTGTAGATATTTTATAGTTAAAGTTTATTTCCTTGTGGTGAGAACTTTAAAGACCTACTCTTAACAATTTCCAAATGTATGATACAATGATAAGAAATTTAGGTATCTAAATTGACAAAATACCCATTTGCAAACACTTCAAGGATATGACCCCCAAATCACCAATTAATGTCGAATCATTTGTTAATGTTTTTCATAAACAAGCATCTTCCAATGAAGGCAGGAAAACTAAATTCATTCTTTGAATTTTTGTTTACATTCTTGGATATTTACCTTTTTCTTTCAAATTTTCTTTTTGAAATCTTGTCTTGGCAATGTATTTTAAATGTCCAAGAGCTTTTTCTATTTTCATTGCCCTTTTTTCTTTGTATCTAGTTCTTTAGGGTGGAGAATCTTTTTGAATGTCCCTGAGAATAAAAATTTAGTTTCTTAAGGCTAGATATTTCTTCCTGGTTGAGAAATATATATATATATATAAATATATTTATAAATACATATAAATATAAAATAATATATTTATTAAGATAGTACATTAAAATACAATAAATTAAATTTATATTAAATTTAAATATATTTATTTATGTATACATATATATATATATTCACTTCTATTTCTTTTTTATTCTGAAAGCTTTCTTGGACTATTTGATGAGGCATGATAATTTATTTAATTCTTGAAAGTAGATGAGGACACTGACTGAGATCTTTGCATATATGAGCAGTTTATCACCTCTCATTTAACTTTGCTTTAGGGTTAGTAGGCAAAATCCAACCATTATGGGGTGAAGCCTCACAAACACCAGAAAGTTTGAGTGGAGCTGATTCTGAGATGTTGGGAGCCAAACAGATTCCTTCATTCTCCCCAGTTTTTCTAATTTACTAACAACAACAAAAAAAACGACTGATATTTTGCCTTGGAGAGGGGAGATAATCTACATGCACTGTGATCTGCATGATGAGAGAATTATCTGAGATGAGTAAAAAGTAGAAGAGACTGTTCAGTTTTCTTTTAGTGCACTCCTGGGATCTATATTTTACTAATGTTGTCTGTGCTGTCTTACAATTTTTGGGGGTGGAGGTTAATCTTTAGATTTTTGTTTAGCAGAGATACAAATAATTTCTTTGCAGTAGAAAAGGTGATCCTAGAGATGACAGTTTGTGTTCCAGATGGACATTAACCAGCTGTGTATCTAACCTAGCATGCCTACCCTACCATAATTTCTATTAAATTGCCTCCCTATAACTTTATTAACTCCCTCATTAGTTGAATTTAATATCTTTGACATGTGTTCATTTTGTAATTATATGAGAGTCATGCTCTTATCTTTCCGAATATTATATTGGATAGCTAGCTGTTAAAACCTAATCATCAGATGACCAGGAACAAGTCCGTGGCCTGATAAAATAAGATTTATTGATTTGCAGCAGGGAGTACACTCCAGAGGAATTCTGCTGGGCCAGAGGGAGGAGGGGAGTGTCTTTTATAAGGTCTGGCTTTTCACTGAAGGACTTTAAGGAGGCGGCTCAGTGGGAAAGAATCTGCCTGCCAATGCAGGAGACTCAGCAGATGTGGGTTCAATCCCTGGGTCAAGAAGATCCCCTGGGGGAGGAAATGACAGCCCACTTTATTAATCTTGCCTGGAAAATCTCATGGGCAGAGGAGTCTGGTGGGCTATAGTCCATGTGATTGCAGAGAGTCGGGCACGACTGAGCACGCACACACCTTCAGTTAGAACCGCTTGCTTTTTCTGAAGCAGGTTTAGGAGAAATGGGATTGACTAGGCACTGGGTCTGCCTTAAGGTGAGGAAGACTTGGCATTTCAATATTCCCAGTGATAAGTGAAAACTGCCAAATGGGTCTGGAGCATCATTGATGAGAAAGCAGCAGTCAGTTGAAGAGGGACAGGTAGTAGCATTTTGTAACAGCCCTGAGATCTTCAGAGAAATGGTGTTTTCTGTTAACTTTAAAGCTGGCTTTCTCTGTTTGTTTTCACAGTCTGAAGAAGGGCAAAGTGCTCTTTCCTTTGCAGTTTGAGGTGACCTGCCCTCTTTCAGTCTTGGGTAGGTTTTTACTCTTTCCTGGCATGAGAAGGTGGGAGATGGAAGGTGAGGTAGATACTTAACACCTTACCACCTTCATTTCTTCTCTCTTTTAAGTCCTATTTTTTTCTCTCTGGTCATCTCTGGAACATTCTACTTCTGAGTCTAGAGAGGGGTCAGCAAACTTTTTCTGTAAAAGACTAGAAAAAAAGTATCACAGATTTTGAAGGCCAGATGGTTTTAGTCACAACTACTTACTTCTACCATTATAAAAAGACAGCATCCAAAGAAAGTTCATATATGAATAGCTGTGTTCTAATAAAAATTTGTTTATAAAATCAGACAGTGGACTGGGCCATAATTGCACATTTGGTCCACGGCCATAGTTGCTCATCCTGATCTAAAGTTTCTCTCTGTTTCTCCTAAAGTGATCAGCTCCTTTCTTTTTTTTTTAAACCATTGTCCCCACAACATCTTTTCTTAGCTTGACTTCCTTTGCTGATTCATCCTTCAACATTCTCATTTGATTTTGATGTTTCAGAAATTCACTGAAAAATATACTAATAGTCCATCTTACTTTCACCTTACTGTTACAACTTTTAAATTTCTTTTATCATCTTTTTAGTGAGGTCTTTTATGAGATATGAGATAATTTTCTTGGGCTCAACTTGTTATCTTGAACTGGAGACAATATAAAACTTTTTAATAAAAGTGAGTCAATATAAAATACTTGCATTGCTCATTAAGGTATGCCTAGAATGATTATCTTATCACTATCAGCGTTTCTTAAGTTTCCAAATTTTCATATTGAATAATGCTGGGATAGTTTTTCATCTAAAAGAGCTTCATGTCCCAGAAAAACTGAAAATAGGTTTAAAAAATAGGTTTAAGAGAATAGATATATTAACAACAACATACATTTGCTCGGTACTGGTAAATGTTTAAGTGAAGCAATACTACAAAAGAGATCTGATTCTGAAATATTAGTTTTTTTGTTGTTGTTCAATCGCTTAGTGGTTTCTGACTCTTTGTGACCTCTTGGACTGCAGCAAGCCAAGCTCATCTGTCCTCCACTATTTCCTAGAATTTGCTCAAATTTATTGAGTGGGTGATGCTATCCAACCATCTCATCCTCTGCTGCTCCCTTGTTCTGTCCTCAATCTTTCCCAGCATCAGGGTCTTCTCCAATGAGTCCGCTCTTTCCATCAGGTGACCGAAGTATTGGAGTTTCAGCTTCAGCATCAGTGAATGAATGAATATTCAGAGTTGACTTCCTTTAGGATTATTATGTACATAGAAAAAACTTTAAAGTCAAACATTTCTATTTGGATCTCAATCATCACCTCTTTTTCTTTAGGTTCTTTTATAAAGGTACAGATACAAAAATATCAAATATACATGTACAGTACAGGTTTTGTAAATAATGATTCATTCATTTTCTAATGTACAGAACTTTCTGAAAATTCTAGATTGGGGAGCATGTCTGGGAATTCAGGCCAAGGTAGGGACATTCTACTATTTATTGCAAATCTACTCTTTAACTTCCATCTGTGGGAAGAACTGAGTTTTCGAAGCAGATTCCAAGTATATTCACCCAGCCAGATACATGGATTGTTGCAAGCTTCTTCAGAAATCCAGTCACTGTCAAACTATAGGTTTGCCTCCAGAACGAGAAATAGGGGGGAAGCCTTGGCTTATGTTAACAATGCAGGAAAGGGTGAAACAGTTCTTACTTTTGAGACACAGTAATGCTACCCACTGCTAAAAGGACCAAATGGATATTAGTCCATTACCAGTTACATGAGTTATTCTTTCAATCATGTAGTACATACAGGGTGGAAAGAGAAACAGATTCTCTTCTCTGTTCTCCTTATTGTGAAAAGAAATGAAGATCTCTTTGCTTATGGTAAATGAAGGCAGAGCTAAGAATAAAAGGGCTCCTCCATTCCCTCAAAACTCATAAAAGAAAAATGAACTATAATATAAATGCAACTAGCATTCTACTAAATATCATTTAATCTATAATTCTATAATGCAGATACAGTCAAAATCTTCTCTCTCTCTCTTTCTTTTAACCTAAAAACATGTGGAAGATTTCACAAAAGAAAGGAAACTTGGGAATTATAAGTAAATAGCTAAATACCTGGGCTTACCTAAAAGAGTGAAATCAGCCACAAACTAGTTAACAATGTGCGTATCTTAAGGGTATGACTTTTCCAAGCTGATCATTTTAGAACTGGTGAGTGGCAGCAGCTAGAATCACATATGCAGAACCTTTAAGGTATCTTCTTCAATAGCATCTCAACAGACAGTAATTAGGTTTAGACTCCAGCAGCCTGCAGCTGAGGCTGTGTCACATGCTGATGGATGCTTACGTGTCACAGCATGACTCACAGAAGGTAAAAAGTAAAATGAATCATCTTGGCTCCCTCTCCTTATTTTTCGGGGGAAAAAAAAAACTGGAATAAGCTCCCACTTCCACTTGAGAAAAAATTGAAAGTGAAGCACCCAACATCCTATGATAAAAGCAATATTTCAAAGAGGTTTAGATTTGTGGCTGTTGCTAAGATTGAACCTGAAATTACAAGACTTTATCAAGAGCCAATCAACCAGCTAATTGTACTTTTTTCCATTGAATTGGTTCTGCGTCATACAGCCACCTTATTATACACATGATAAATAAATTCACCAAGTGACTATTTTAGGTATAAGAGCAAGCAAGGGGTGAAATAATTGAACTCTCTTTATCTAGTCTATAATTACTAATGAGGAGTAAGAACCCAGTACGCCATTCCTTTGTGCTGCCAACTAAAGAATGTCACTCTCCCTCTGGATCTACAAGGATCAGGTCAGCAGCCGCTGCAGCTGCTGACCTCCAGCACCCCCTGAAAGCAGTTCAGGGTGGGGATCAAAAATGAGGCACCGTGCTCTGGGAAAAACTGGCAGAACAGGCCTTCAGAGAGGTATTTTCAGAAGAAAAATGTTTGAACCCAATTTTCTGTGTCTTTGCATACTTAGAGAAGCACTAAAATCTTTAATGAAGACATCTACTGTTTGTGACCAACAGCAATGTTCTACTGAGGTTCATGCCTCATTGCATTCCCCCCCCAAACCAAAATTGCATATATGCTGACCACCCCTGGGCTTTCCTGGTGGCTCAGCTGGTAAAGAATCCAACTGCAATGCAGGAGACCTGGGTTTGATCCCTGGGTTGGGAAGATCCCCTGGAGAAGGAAAAAGCTACCCACTCCAGTATTGTGGCCTGGAGAATTCCATGGACTGTATAGTCCATGGGGTCGCAAAGAGTAGGACATGACTGAGCGACTTTCACTATTTTGCTTGACCACCAACCACCACCCCCGCCCCGGCCCCTTACTTCTTCAGAGTGGTTCCTCAGCTCACTGAGAGAGATTCTATCCTCTGGGCTACAGACCTCAGTGAGTTTCCAAAGAAAACTGAAACTCACATTTCTCACACTGTGCATTATTTTTCCCCACTTAACAGTGCAAGTCATCTGCTTAATTTGTTCTTTCTTAAACATTATTTATCCTTTTGTCCATTGCAACTTGACACTGAATTACTATCCAACATGCATAAACCCTCCTTTCCCCACCATCACCATCATTCTCGACTTAGATATTATCAAGAGGAAATAATAACTCATTGGATTTTTAAAAGAGGTATGCTACAAGATAATTTTAAAATACAGCAAAACCATAACTCTCGTACAAGTAAAAAATGAACATGGAGCAAATTAATTAACATTAATCAATGAGGGATTGAGCAAAGGCATTAAAAATTGGTTCAAAGGAGAAGCCAAAGAGAAGAAACATACATAGGCAGTAAAGCAATGATGAATTGGTATGTTAATAGATGTAAAACTGTCTCCTTTCTCAGGAGTTGGGGGATCTGTCTACCTTCACTGGAAAAAAATGCATTTGCATATCTATGGTCAGGAATACTTTGCATCAATATCAATTTTCTAAACTTACAGAGCCATAAAATAGCTTAAAAAAAATGAAGTGCACAAAATACTCTAGATTTAGATATGGTAGAAAGCTGTGCTACACAGTGGTTAGCATTCCATAAAATACGAAATCTTGCTTTTTGTTTCTTTTTATTTCCTGATAGGAACAAGAGTAAATTTAGATTTCAGTTCAACAAAACCACTAAACAGAAAAGTATGTACGTGTTTGATTTGATCATACACAACTCATTCTATTGTGTGCATATGGAAGATAAACCCAAAGATAGCCAGATAACTTGCTTTGTAACTAGTGATGAAGCAGAAGTCTTCTACTATTCATTGACTTCTTTATTATTATTTCTTATACACTCAGTCATCAGGATCTGCACTATTGATTTTCCTTTTGTATGTTCTCTTACATCTCACCATTGTTTTTCATCTTCACCTTAGCCCACCGTTATTAGCCCAACCATCAGTCAGTAAATCACTCAGCAGTTGGGTTATGATACCATTTAGTCTCACTTCTTTGAACATATGTTTACTAATGGACACAATACTGTTAGATTGGAAATAACATTTTCATGGTACTCTTCAATCAAAAATCTTTTAAGACTTACATTCAAGGGCAATTGGTTAATGGAAAAGCAACTACAACATGAATGAGCCACCTTAAACCCCTTTTAAAAAAACAAGCCAGTAGATATTTAAACAGAGAGAAAAATCAAACCTGGTTTATGGTGAGTAAAATTCAGATAGGCCAACAAATATGTAAAATGGAAACTTTTTCCAAAAGAGTTTTAGAGGCTGCTAGATCCAACTTTTAAAATTTCTTCTATAAGGGATAGAAATGACTTTTAAAAGAGATTTCCATGTTCACTGAAAGTTCAAAATTCATTGTCTTTGTCTTCGCTGTGACAGGATGCTACAGCTTCAGAGTGATTTAGAAGACCTCAGTTGAAGTTTTGGCTCATTACTTCTCAGTTGTGTCACTCTGGTCAAAGTGTTCAGCTACTCTCAGCTACATTTCTTGTTTTGTAAAATGGAAATACAAATGATAACAACGCTACTTACTCTCCAGGTTATTGTAAGAAGGATGGGAGGTTGAAAATACTGAAATAATTACTAACTGATAAAATATCGTTCAGATACTAATAGTACCAAAAGCTACGTGCTGTACTTAGTCGCGTCTGACTCTTTGTGACCCCATGGACTGTAACCTGTCAGGCTCCTCTGTCTATGGGGATTCTCCAGGCAAGAATACTGGAGTGGGGTCCCATGCCCTCCTCCAGGCGATTGTCCCAACCCAGGTCTCCCACATTGCAGGTGGATTCTTTATCATCTGAGCCACCAGAGAAGCTATAGTGCTAGCTTTTGCCTCTTCCACATAATTTATTCTTCACTGTACAAATTTTGCACTTACCAGTGATAGAAACTAATAATAAATTAGAACATAAACTGCTTCAAGATGAACACTTTCTGCCCTTTTCTTCCAAGAACAAATACACTGTTGCCTTTCCCCCAAGAACAAAAGTTACTTCAGTGCCTAGGTTCCCATGAAGAGTGTGTCAGTTGATATGCAGTTTGATGTAACTGTTTTCATCAATTTCTTACTCACAATTTTACTAAATTACACTAGATTTTGACATTCGAATTTCATTTAAAGAATATTCAAACAGATAAAAACTTAGCAATAGCTGGAAATTTTTATATGGAATATAACAAGAGGGATTTAAAAAATTATATTAATTTAGGTCATAATTTAGAAATATAAGTATACACTATATCAAAACAAATCACAGCAAATGACTATGTAAAATGCAATGTCTTATCTTCATCTATTACAAATCTTATTTAATCTAAGTGAATAAAGTGTCACACAAAGTTAAAGGTAATTAACATCTTATTAAATATCTACCAAGTGTCAGGCACAGTTTTAGGTTATCCTGTGTTGGGTTAAACTCTGTGGAGATGCTTTACTGAGTTAATAAAAATTATTATGAATGAACACATTATTAACTGGGTTTATGTGGAGGACTCACAAAGTATACTTTTAAACAAGAATTTGAGTGCTAGCAGTTTATTTTGGAAATGACTCCAGGAAGTATTCTAAACAAGTATGGAAGTGAGATAAGGTAGCGAGGACAGGCATTAAAGAGTGCTTTATTGAGCAGTTTTCCTCTGTGGGCAGCATAGGAAAAAGCCAATTTATAACCCTGTTGTAATGAGACTGTAGGAAACATGCCTTGGAGTTTTTCCTGTAAGAGCTAAGAGAAAGCTGGAATATTCATTCATCAACTTCCATTCCTAAAGGAAATCCAATAAATATTCATTGGAAGGACTGATGCCAAAGCTCCAGTACTTTGGCCACTTGATGTGAAGAGCCAACTCATTGGAAAAGACTCTGGTGCTGGGAAAAATTGAGGGCAGGAGGAGAAGGGGACAATAGAGGATGAGATGGTTGATGGCATCACTGACTCAATGGACATGAGTTTGAGCAAACTCCGGGAGGTAGTAAAAGACAGAGAAGCCTGGCAAGCTCCAGTCCACAAGGTCACAAAGAGTTGGACACAACTTAGTGATTAAACAACAACAACAACAACTTCTGTCCCTCACTGGTTAAAGATTTCTACTATGGCCTTAATCCTTCAGAAACTATAGAAGAGCATACTTGAGGCCAGAGAATACCCTCAGGCAGAAAGACACAGGGAGTCACTGACCTGAGGGAACCATCTGCAGAAGTAGACCACAGGACATGGGTGGGGCATCTGTAGCATCGACTACATTAAATCAATGAAACCTGTCTTATGCTAATCATTGAGGGGACACCAAAGAAACCAAAAGACTAATGCATTCTATGAGTTGGATCTCTATGTCATGTACAGACCATGTATCAGGTATTGAGCTAGACACCAGGAGAAAAATAAACAATAAAATACAATCTGTGAACTTAGGGGTCTTATATCAGGATGAGGAAGTATATATAGGCCAAGATAAAAGATGTAATGTAATTTAAACAGCTACATAAATTTTGAGTGCCTCCTAAAAAAGCAAATCTAAGTGAAGTATTCAGATACAAAAAAAAATGAAACAAAGATATGGATGAAAATGATTGACAAATACACACTATTGATACTATATTTAAAGAGATAACTAATAAGACTTAGATAACTAATAAGACTTAGTTAGTATAGCTCAGGGAACCCTACTCACTTCTCTGTGGAGACCTAATTGGAAAGGAAATTCAAAAAAGAAGGGATATATGCATACATATAGCTGATTCACTTCACTGTGCAGTAGAAAGTAACACAACATTGTAAAGCAACTATACTCCAATAAAAACTAATTTAAAAAAAATAAATTTTAAGTTATTCAATAAAACTAAAAATTCAACTATAAAAAAGGGAAAGAATGATCTGAGCAGAGAGATAAGCTGAAGTGAGGTTTTAAAGATGAGTTGTTTGAAGGACTGAAGAGAAAATATGGGAGACAAGATACATATCATACGTCACCTGGTGTTGATGGGCTGAAAGCCTTGGGCTAAGACAGTGCTATGATCTTGGGCTAAGATCACATCACAATGGTGTGATCACTCACCTAGAGCCCATTCTGGAATGTGAAGTCAATGAGCTTTAAGAACCATCACTGCAAATAAAGCTATTGGAGGTGATGGAATTCCAGTTGAACTATTTCAAATTCTAAAAGATGGTGCTATTAAAGTGCTGCACTCAATATGCCAGCAAATCTGGAAAACTCAGCAGCGGCCACTGGACTGGAAAAGGTCAGTTTTAATTCCAATCCCAAAGAAGGGCAATGCCAAGGAATGCTCAAACTACTGCACAATTGCTCTCATCTCACATGCTGGGTAAAGTAATGCTCAAAATTCTCCATGCCAAGCTTCAACAGTATGTGAACTGTGAACTTCTGGATGTTCAAGCTGGATTTAGAAAAGGAAGAGGAACCAGAGATCAAATTGCCAACATGTGTTGGATTACAGAAAAAGCAAGAAAATTACAGAAAAACATCTATTTCTTCTTTATTGATTATGCCAAAGACTTTGTGTAGATCACAACAAACTGTGGTAAATTCTTCAAGAGATGGGAACACCAGACCACCTGACCTGACTCCTGAGAAATCTGTATGCAGGTCAAGAATCAACAGTTAGAACTGGACATGGAGCAACAGACTGGTTCCAAATTGGGAAAGAAGTACATCAAGACTGTATATTGTCATCCTGCTTATTTAACTTACATGCAGAGTACATCATGCAAAAAGCTGGGCTGGATGAAGCACAAGCTGGAATCAAAATTGCTGGGAGAAATATTAATAACCTCAGATATGTAGATGATACCACCCTTATGGTTGAAAGTGAAGAGGAACTAAAGAGACTCTTGATGAAAGTGAAAGCGGTAGGTGAACAAGTTGGCTTAATACTCAACATTCAGAAAACTAAGATCATAGCATCCGGTCCCACCACTTCATGGCAAATAGATGGGAAAACAATGGAAACAGTGAGAGACTTTATTTTCTTGGGCTCCAAAATCACAGCAGATGGTGACTGCCACTGTGAAATTAAAAGACGCTAGCTCCTTGGAAGAAAATTTATGACCAACCTAGACAGCATATTAAAAAGCAGAGACATTACTTTGCCAACAAAGGTTCATTTAGTCAAAGCTATGGTTTTTCCAGTAGTCATGTATGGATGTGAGAGTTGGACTATAAAGAAAGCTGAGCACTGAAGAATTGATGCTTTTGAACTGTGGTGTTGGAGAAGATGCTTGAGAGTCCCTTGGACTGCAAGGAGATCCAACCAGTCCATCCTAAAGGAAATCAGTCCTGAATATTCATTGGAAGGACTGATGCTTAAGCTGAAACTCCAATATGTTGGCCAGCTGATGTGAAGAACTGACTCACTGGAAAAGACTCTGATGCTGGGAAAGATTGAAGGCAGGAGGAGAAGGGGATGGCAGAGGATGAGATGGTTGGATGGCATCACTGACTTGATGGACATGAGTTTGAACAAGCTTTGGGAGATGGTGAGGGACATGGAAGCCTGATGTGCTGCAGTCCATGGGTTCATAAAGATTTAGACATGACTCAGCAACTGAACTGAACTGAAGATTGTGCCAATAGAATGGAGCAAAGACATGGTATCTATGGCCCAGTTGCTCATTTCCCATCAAGGTCAATCCTTTACTAGCATGTCTTTCAACACCAAAGTGGTTGGACACCTTGAAATCACATTTTAGGCTCCCTTCCAGTTGGAGTGCCACATATGATTGGGATAAAAAAAGAGAACCCAAATATGGCAGAGATTAAAGCTTACATCCCTAAAAAGTTAATCTTAAATTCACTTCCACACCCACCTCCCTTGTGTCAACAGTTTTCCTGGCCTTTTAGCTAGATTGATTTACCTGCTGACTTGTTTTTCATCAAAATGAACTTGGAGTTTTGGGCTAAGATTTTAGCTCCAAATCTCTCTAGGCATTGGTCATTTTCTATGCATGCATGCTATTTCTTAAGAATAGAAAGTTTTATGACCAAGCTTCTATCTTATCTTACAGCCTGGGTCCCTGTTTTGAGTGCACTTCTTAAGAAATAAAGTAATGATTTGTTACAGAAGTTTTCCCTGGGACTGAATTTCAGGTCCTAAATTGAATACGTGGATACTTGCTGTCATGTTTCCCATGTGCCTTTCTGCAAAAATTTTGCTGGGTATCTATCAATGACCCTCTTGATAGTATTTTCAGTTCAGTTCGTTCACTCAGTCATGTCCGACTCATTGCTACCCCATGGACTGCAGCATGCCAACAACAAAATTAAATTGAGTGTCAAGTAAAAATACCAGCATATAATTGTCTCTCAAGGAATGTCAATATCTTTCCTGTCCTGATTTCTTTCTATTCTCATGCCATTTTAGGACTTGCCTTTCTGATCTCCTTTCCTCTGATACCTTACCCTCTCTTCTTAGCATCCATCAGTACCTTACTTGTCACTTATGACCCTAGATCTTGCATCAGATTCTTTGTAGCTATTTCTGATATAACAACCTAGTCTTATCAGTCTTACTTTTCTTCACCCTTTCTCACATCCTGCCTTGTAATACATATTTTTTAGCACATCAGCAAATGTCGTGAGGAAGTTTTTCTGTAACTCACTGAATTGATAGCTTTGGGAAAGTTCCATTGTTGAAGGACTGAGATTGATACTGCTTTCCTAAAATACACTTCAAGCCTAATTATACAGAAGTGATTCTTGTATGTCAGATTTTGGGTGGTTATTTTGTCCATCCTGTGTTTTTCTCTAATTTTTTGACAGTGGGGGAAAAACAGTAGCAAAATTAATTTCATTTAAATGTGGTAGGGCAGTAGGAATTGAAAACTAAGATTTGCACTAAAAAAAAAAGTACTAAATTTTCACTTTAGTTTGGCATGGTTCAAGACCTCATAGTATACCAATAAATACGGTAGCTGCATAGAGGTATAGAACCAGAAGAAGCATGTGATATACTTACTTTTAAAACAAATATATGGGACCAATCCATTTCTGTTTAAGAGAACTAAAACCTTAGAGCACTCATTTTAGATCTCTTGATAAATATGTTCAATAAAACACATAATTTGATTGTAAGGAAAGGCTGAAATTATTCTCTGGATTCACTGCAATAAGTTCATAGCCTCAGGAGTTTTTTGTTTTTTTCTGTAAAAGTAAAATGATGTGATTTGAAGCTTGAATATGATCCCACTGGGAGGCAAGATGAGCAGAAATGAGAAAAGTACTGGGGGCAACAGATCAGAAGATACTCTTTCGAAGGCTGCAAGGGACAAAATCAGCTAGAGGAGACATCTTAGCCAAGGAAGCAGAGGGGAAGGGTGGCATGTGCTTTCATAACTATCACAAAGACACCAAAACTCATGACAACACTTGTCAATTCTAAGTGATAATAAGATTCTACAGACTTGATTTACACGTGGCCACAGAATCATGTAATATGATGGTTTTCTGCTAGAGACTACATCTGTACCATTCTAACAGTGTGGAATGAGGCCAGGGTATCAATATTTTCAAAAATCTCTACACAGAACTCTAAAGTGTTGCATGTTTGGGAAATACTAACATAATAAAGGGGGCAACAGAGGATGAGATGGTTGGATGGCATCACTGACTCAACAGATATGAATCTGAGCAAACTCTGGGAGACAGTGAAGGACAGGAAAGTCTGGCGTGCTGTAGTTCACGGGGTCGCAAAGAGTCAGACATGGTTTAGTGACTGAACAAAAACATAAGAAAACCCTAAGGTATGAAAGGGGCTGAATAAATTTAAAACATATGGAAGGGAGAATTTGCCATTTGCTGCAACTACCACCATTCCATATTTTACCACTAAGTGCACATTTTGTATTTGGTAATGAGTTGTAGACACAAAGGGATGTAAGAGTGGAGACTTCAATTTAGGCTTATTAAGTACAGTGTCACATGTGCCTTGCTATGCTGTCCTTGAATAAGAACATGTATATGATAACTCTCTCTATCCAACCTATTTCAAGCAAGTAAACCTTGTGTATATGTGTGTGTAAGTGCCTATATGTATATGTATGTAGATGTTTATGCATTGGCAAGTTTGAGATCTGATTTGATATTTTATCTTGGGGAAATAAACCTAAGATAATTCTGACCTGAATGTATTCTGATTTTTTCTTCAACTTCATCAGAACTAATTCCAGCCATGAGACCAATACTCTGCTGAGTTACAGATTCCTATTATCCATTAGCTCCTCCATATGCTGAAGGATGGTCAGATGGTTAAGGGCTTGAAAAGGGGTCCAGTGGAAAATAAGAGGCCTAATACAGATGTTTTATTTGTTCTTCTCTTTTTTCCTTGTCCCTAGATCCTACATAGGCAATGGATCTTTTTGCACCGATGACAATCTAGTTAACTTTTACTCTGAGGGGATCCTGACTGTGCTCCAGTGAGATTATGAATGATGCTTTTCTCTCAAAAATTAGGTCAGATTCTATGTGTATCAGGGCAAGATGGGAAGGGAAGACTGGGAAGACCAGTAGGAGTCACAGCAAAGATGACTGATTTTTGTTTTTTGATACTGTTGGTATTTTTTTTGAAGCAATGTATTGCATTGTCCTTATATCCTTTTTCAGTTTTTAGGTTAGAACACACATTATTGCTGATGACTATGTTCTACCTAGTGGCCATCTTCTTGATTACTCTGAGCTGCACTGATTACAACTTGCTTCAGGGGTTATGGTATTATTTTATCATATTACATCTTTCCATCATCTCTTCAGTTTCTCTGTAAGTAAGGAATATTCTGCTCTGGAAGTACCTCATCAGATTGTTATGTTTGCTCTGTAAGTTCAGTTATTAATGTTCTGGAACATTTCCTTCACTAATTTGTTCCAAAGTATAAATTTATAGGTCACCATTATAGAAAATCTCAAATGTCACAAGAGGAAGCTTCCCATAAGATGATAATGTTCTTCTCTATTTTCCATCCTTGCTGATACCTATCACATATTAAGGTTTCCTTAGACAATTGCTGTTCTGTGCAAT